AACTTATGAGTCCATTCTTGTCTTGTTGGTTTGTTGTACTATTCTATACCTCTCTCGATTGATAGAAAGACGTTCGGGAGCTGGGAGGGCCTATCATGAGGGAACTTTCCTTTTCACGGTAGGCAGAGGTAAAGTGGGAGCTGCGTATGTCCACGGTGATCAAGGCAGAGCGACTCCTTCTATAAAAGAGGTTGGTTTTATCGAAACTGTTAGATTCGCTTTCATTTAAGAAAAAATAGGAGCTCTTGGTTTGGCCGATGTCGATTCGTATGGCAATGCGGACTCGACTCAGGATGAGGATTCCGCTTTTCATACTACTGCTATGAGCCGAAAGAGCTGGTAAGCTATCTCGCTAAACGAAAGGAAAAAGCACGTACGGGTTGACCTCGTTACAAGGGGCGGGGGCCAGCCAAAGAAGGTTAGTCGGACTAGGTTAGGACCCTTGATTTGGTTTAGCTAGGTTCTTCCATGTGCGAATGTATGCGTATCGGTATCCTCTTCAGGACCGGTTGCTTCCTCTTTTTGTTTATACGTTTGGAGAAACCTGCTAAGCCCATCTTTCTTACCAAGTGTGATTCAATCTTTCAGCTCAAACTTTCCTATTGTCCGACGGAAAAGGTAGGAGTACGACTACCTTTTCCTTTTCTTGCCTGAGCCAAGGGATCATTCAGTTTCTACCAAAAAGTTTGCTATCTATTAGTTGCCGTAATCAAATGTATTTCTCATTTCATGTTATCTCCTTCAAGAGCTTCCTGGTCCGTAGTAGATGAAACCTTGGACTTCTATCAGACTTATAGCACTGCCTAGTGAGCTCGCCGTTGAGGGTTGGCATTATAGAAGATTGAGCAGCTTTTCTTTCCCTGCCTGGTATGCTTTCCCGCTTATCGAGCAACTAGCCAACTAGCCAACTAGCCAAAGAGAGAGGGTGAGGGATCATGTCAATCAATTTGTATGTGCATTTTGTCCGTCCTGTACTTGCATGCTTAGCTTTCTTAACCAACATCTTCAGTTTTTCCCGAACCAAGAGGTCCTACTTATCCATACCCAACAGTCACACTTTCAGCCAAAGGACTAATTTTTTTTTTCATAAAATTGGTTCATAGATCAAGAAAGGATGAAGCTGCTTACAGGGACGGTTACGCGATACGTCTTTTCATACTCGCCTTTTCTTTAACCCTGCTATCAACTTAGCCATTCTCGCTTGTTGCTTTAAGGGGTCTCCCCACTGTAGATTACTCGGATTGGTTCTCGCGTCCTTGTGCCAAAAAGGACGGGCAAGTTTGGTTTGAGTGTTCATCAATTGGGTGGATCCATATGCTCCAGGGGGGGTGAGACAAGGTGTAGCGCAGTTTGGTCAGCGCATCTATTTTGGGTATGTTGTCCGCTAAAGATTTTAGGAAAGGGGGTACAAATTTTCTACATAGGTAATCTGTGGTCACAATCCTTTTAAGGAAGATGCTCCCAAATAATCGGTGAACAATAGCCTTTAAAGAAGTTTCAGAGAGCAAGAAGAGGTAGAATAGAGAATAGGAGTGAGTCGTGCAAGGAAGAAGGAACTAGTAGGTTTAATTTGGGTTCGTTTGAACTAAAAAACGAACCAAAAATTTTCAAACGAACCCAACTTTAAGACTCACTAGCTCAAAGTCCATATGTGGTTAAAAAAAAACCTTTCGTGGCCCAACCCTTATTCGCAGTCCGCATCCAACCATTTCTTTTTCAACCTACACGTATGCTCCAGGCCAAACTCACGTAACTAGTCAGAAGATGCGGCCCACAACTGAACGGAAGACAAGTGTCACAATCGCACTCTTGCAGTAGTGAGACAATGATTATGTGACATTTGTTCTAATCCAATGAACAAGTCAACCATGCAAAATTTATACTGAATGAACAATAGTAGTGTATGCTCGAATCACGTTTAGAAGAAATATTTTAGAAAACGTGAGCGAGGAAATACGTTAAAAACAATTTAAAATAAAGCAATGTTATAAGCTAAAAGTGAACAAACAACAACTGGTCACGTTCTCCTATCGTACATTTTGGGACATTTTAGTCCTGATGGGTGTAGATATGATTTTGAGGACTAATCATACACCCCGTATTGGCACAACAATAATAGTAAAGGTCTATCTAAGATGAAAGCAAGTAAAAGGGGTTTGGAATGAGCATGTCACCATGAACCACAAATCGTTTACAAGAATAAATGAGACATCTAACATGCAGCCACAGGCAACACGCCTTGGACAATCATGACCGCAACATCTGCCCTTACACAATTTGTCAACATCTCTATCAACCGGCTCTTCATAAACTCAACATTGTAGGATGAGGCTGACTTTAGGTCTCGCGATACGCTTCTAGCTGATCTCAGTATTGAGGAGTCTTTTCCAACCTACTAGGAGCTGTTGAAAATCACTTCTCGGTTTGTTAACTCTTCAAGTCTTCTCTGTTGGTGTCTCTCCTACTTTCTTCGCTTGAAACATTTTCTTCTTTGCATGACGTCATACCACATGCTTTTATTTAATGTTTTCTTGGTCGGAATAATAACGTTTCAAGTTACTGACGTGGACAACAGGGTTAGTTTGTATCCATAGGAGCAATTGGATCCTATATGATGTCTTCCTAATCTTATGGATAAATTTGACTAGTCCATAGAATTTTCGCACCAGTCTTTGGTTCTTGTTGCTTTGAACTCAAAGTTGATCTGACCTTAACTTATCATAACTCTCTATTTTCTTTAAAATTATCGTGGTCAACCCTTCTCTTCATCCGTCTGGATAGTATTTTTGCGTGAACATGTGTTGCTTTAGTGGTTTGTTTTTGTCTCCCTTCTTCAGTAGAGGTGTTGGCTTGGTGTCTTTGCCAAACATTTGAGTGATCACAGACAAGAGCCATTGCAGATCAAATAAACCCGACTGTGAACATGCCATTTTGCTATTTGTAGAATTCAACTAGCTCAGGCTGAGCCGCATGACATTTGTTTGTGGATGACGACATAAAACTAATCTTGTGATTTATCTCTCTTGGTGGGGTTAAACCCAATATCTGACCTTCTTGTTTTGGGTTGTGGTGTTCATGTAGTGGCAATAAAGTTTTTGTTGAGGTTGGCACACTTGAGCTCCCCCTTTTCAAATACAACAATGGCAGCAAGTGTAGATTCATCATGGCTAAAATTCTTTCTCAACTGTACTATCGTCATCATTTTCACCCCTCTTGGTTGATGGATGTTTGTCTGAATGATCGTTGGGTTAAGACTCCGTTACTACTAGGCATCTTGCTAGGGGCATGTAAATGACTTTGTGTTCTAGCAGGATGTCAATCCCTGACTATTTGGGCTCTAGAATGTTGGATATGAAGGCTGACTATTTATAACAAAAATCTGATAGAGATATATATACTAAATAATTATATATAGTAGGCGGTTACATATAGTGAAGCTATATATAATAAACTGAAATCATACGTATACCCATTAGTTAGTGCTTCCTAAATGTACATTTCTCATTCTCCATATCCTCTCTTTGCATACCTGAAGTCATTAATACAAAACCATTAGTCAATATTTCTTCTTACATTTTCTCTATCATGTTCTTTGTGTTCATTTAGATCAAGTGTGTGCGTTGTTGTGTGATCCTTATAACTGGTATCAGAGCGAGGAGAGATTCACCATGATTTGTGAAGATGAAAAGTTCAAAGACTGGAATTGAAAAGTTTGATGGATTCGATATCAGTTTCTAGAAGATGCAGATTGAGGATTATCTGTACCAGAAAGATATTCAGGAACCCCTTTTGAGGGTGAAGCCGGATACCATGACCATGGAGGAGTGGAAGCTCAAGGATTGTCACGCCGTAGGGTTAATCTGGTTGACGCTTTCCAGAAACATGACGTTCAACATCATCAAAGAGAAGACGACATTGGGCTTATTGAAGGTGTTGTCAAATATGTACGAAAATATGTCGGCTATGAACAAGGTGTATTTGATGCAGAGGTTGTTCAATCTACAAATGTCGATTTGTTGCAGATCATATAAATTAGTTCAACATGATTGTAAGTCGATTGAGTTGGGTGGAAATTATGTTAAATAATTAAATTAAAGCATTGATTTTGATGTCATCTTTACTCGAGTCATGGTATACTGTTGTTGCTGCAATCAACAGTTGACGATGATCTAATAAACTGAAGTTTAATGAAATTCGAGATGTCAGTGAAAGCCCATACGGGAAATTGGAGATTCATCAGGCAATGCTCTCAGTGTTGATCGAAGGGGAAGAAGTAAATCAAAGAGCCCAAACAAACATGGGCGATCAAAATCAAGGAACCGGGAAAAATCTTCAAACAAACCAAACGTAAAGTGTTGAAATCATGGAGAAAAATAACACTTTCGGACAGATTGTACAAAATTGAAGAAAAGACAAATCACAAATTTGAAGATAACGATGATTCTATATATTCAGCAGAAGATACTGAGAATGCTTTAATCCTTAGCATGAACAACCCAATTGAATTTTAGATTTTAGATTCAGTTGCATCGTTTCATTCGTCTCCAAGTAAGGAATTATTTCAAAATTTCAAATAAGGAAATGTTGGGAAGGCGTATATTGCCGACAACAAAATGTTGGAGATTGAAGGGAAGAGAGATGTAGAGCCCAAGTTCTTTAAAAAAAAAAAAAATTAGGTCACAATAGGGGGCAAACTAGTCATTTTGCCCTTATTACTCGAGGGGTCAGATTTGGTTGAGTCATAATTTGGAAAAGAGAAAGAAGAGGGGAGAGAAAGAGAAGAAAGAAGAGGGAAGGAAGATTAGGGTTTTTGAGGAAGGAGAAGGAGATCGGATCAGAACCGATGCTGGAGATCCGAGTCCCCAATCTAAATCGTCAATAGACCGAGGCAAGGTGCTCTCACGAATCGCACCTTCCTATTTCGTCAAAACGTCCAAGAACTTTAGGTTAGTCCACGAGTGTCTAGATCGAGAAGTCATCAAGATTTTCATGTGTAAGCGACGTTTTGTGTTGATCCTTGGACTCTTACCCTCAACAACGTTATCTGGTTAAGTTCCGGAATGAAGGCGGCCAAGATTGGTGTTCGAATCGGAGTTTCCAGAAAACGTGATTTTCGGTAAGAACTCGTGTTTTTCTTCGAATTCGAACTCAAAATATTAAGATTTGTGATTATAAAAAAAATATAAGAAAACTGTTTTGAAGGAGTAGAATATGAGATCTACAAAGTTCGTGAAGAAAATTTGTTGAATCGGATTACGGATTGGAAGATAAAAAAATCAGAAGAAAATAGATCAAAACGTGAAAGAGATCTGAAAAATGAAAAAAAAAACGCAGGAGAAAGGGTGGAGATGTAGCCACGCGTCGGCCAGCGTGCGGAGGAACGCGGCAGAACCGGTGATCGACACGTGTCGATCACCGACTGGTGTGGCGCGTCCTCACCCCGCAGCGGACAGGCGTCAGGCACGCGGATCCAGCGGGCCCGACTCGCGCCCCACACAAACCGCCCGACCCGATGTCTCTGACCCACGTCTACTTGGGAAGCCGTGCGTGGGCACGCGCGCGTAGGAATTGCACGTAGAAACCCTCCAGGGTGCGTGTGACGCGCGTGGAGGCGCGTGAGCCATTGGTTGTCTTTCTGTTCGGTCTCTGTTTGCTTGTTTTTCGACCCGATTTTGATGCTGACCCTATTATTATGTAAATTAGGACCTTTCAAGGAAATTCCAGAATTGTTGGAATCCATTTCGTTAAGAAAACTCGAACTCGGGAAGGCACGCGTCAACCAAGTAAGTAGCCATTTGGATTCCCACGAGCAGTACTTGTAGGAACCGCTAGGAACGAGCATGCATGCTACCACCCATTAACTTAGCTAGCCGGACCTAGTATATACTGCGAAAATGAAATGATTAAGGAAAGCTAGATATGAAATGTATATTAAATCTTTTTGATTGAGATTCTGATAAAGTATGTATGCATGAGGAGGATGGGAAACTTGTGAAATCTGCGCTCCGGGTAAAGATGGACGTTATCTTCCCGTTGAGCATGTTTGTTAATATTGCATGAACTGCTGCGTGTTAACTCTTATGCATGATGATTGCTTGTGTTATCTTTCTTGATGAATAGGAAGAAATTATGAGCTTAGATTAGGGTGCTTGTGACTAAGTAGGCTAGATGAGACCCTAGATTGGGGGACCTCTAGAATACCGTGCAATTAGACCCGCAAAATGATTACCAGCAGATCCAGAGCCTAGAATTCCAAACTCGATAGGTTTGTGAGACTAGACACGAGAATCCTAGAGATACATGAATCCAAGTCTAAGCCACCAAGTTCCACCCTAGAAAGAATAATAGGTCACCTCGGTAACTGTACGTAGCCCACTAGAGTTGAGTAGTGTAGATAGTGTCATCAGAACCTCCACTTCCCTCTCTCCTCTGATACCGTACCGTCAAGACAGAGCTCCGATACGGTGATTGTTGAGCTTGGCAGATTCGAATAGGGAAGTGTGGTAGGTGCCCAGACCTTGTGCTGATAGCTAAGAGGTCTTCTGAACAGGACTCTTGGGCCGTAGAAACCCGTCCCTGAGCAGGGGACGTGGAGCCACATAGGATGACTCAGTAGCTGACCGGCACACAGGGGGTCGTACCCCGTTTAGTGGATGTATGGTCTCGTGTGAGGGTCGTCAGCTAACCTCCATGGATGATGTTCAGAGAGAGTCACGTTTTTAGATCCAGCCATACAATCCCCTTAGATTTACTTATGAGGTCGCGCCTCACCTCAGGACCCGAGAAAGACCGTGGTTACCTACCAAGATAAGGATGCGAAAAGAGCCTACAAGTAGGCTGCTTACTGAGTATTTTTATACTCATTCTTTTCTACTCTTTTTTTTCAGGTGAGTGATGCCATGGATCGAGGCGGGAATGCATGCTGAATCTTAATGCCACAGAGGAGTGTCTCAGGGCGTCTAGGAGTCTGTGCATAATTTTGTTTAGATCTGTCATGCATTGTTTTGTAAACCGTTTACATACTTTTCATACTTGAACACCATGTTTCGGATTTCAAACCTTTTACATAATTGCTAAAGTTTTTGTCTTCTCTATTTTCTTTTATACGATTTCATTGCATAGTCTGTTGGTCCAGCCCTTGATTTCGAGATTTAAATTTTGGGCTATGACAAGAGATGTCTACATACAAACTCTAGCAGAAAATGAGTGAGTGAACATTATAGGATGTCAGATATATTCCTGATCTCAAGAAGAATATGATCTCTATTGGCCAGTTGGATAGCACAGGTTAGAGTGTATAAACATGGTTGCTATTGCTAAGAGTGCCTCAAATTCAAGTAACAGCAACAACAACCATGTTTATACACCCTATAGTAGTGTCAATAGACTTGCATATATGAGCATCAAAGAAATGAAGATGATGGGTGCAAATGGAGTTTTAGAAGGCCTAAAATCTATTGATATGGGTGTTTGTGAGAGCTGCGTTATGGAAAAATATAAACCACAAAAGCTGCCAGAGAACCAAAGAAAGTGCGATTGGAAATGGTCCATACAAACGTTTGGGGACCATCTCCAGTTTCTTCATTTCTAGTACCAAAATTTCATGGATTAGATGTCTCGCACTGTGCAACAACAACTCTCTGTTTTTCTAAGGCTAGTCAGATATCTCATGACCACTCTTTTCCTCCTCACCATATCTAGACACTATAACGTTTATCCAGTATTGTCTTATATAGTTAACGTTCCCTCTTTAACGTCCAAAGACATTTTATAACTACCACGAAAATCAAAACATACAATATATTCATACAAGTTTTACAACATATCATATACTACAAAATAGGGTTAGACTGCTTACTTGGTCGCGGAGAGACGTGTCATCGAGCTGAGTAATAGAGATATACGACTCTTTATCCTAAAAAAAAATCTATATAATTTAAAATCCGGCTGCTCTGATACCAATCTGTCTCAACCCAAATTTCAAGGGTTCAAAACTCAAATAGAAACTAAAATTGAGAGCGAAAACAAATAAAAATAAAAGTAAATTAATATAAAATAAGAAAATGTTGTAAAATTAAAATGAGATTGAAAAAACAACACCACATTAAATATAAAATAAAATTAAATTATAAGACGGTGTTGTTCAAATTTATCCAAACAAAAAAAAAATGTTCGGGATACAATTACAAAAATAAAATAAATAATAAATAAATACAAAAAAACTCAAACACAAAGACAGACTAACGCTACATAACGACCCCATCTGTGAGTGCACAACCTTTGAAGGTTCCCTCATCTCAACTGTAAGTTCTATTACGAACCAATCCAAAATAATCACACCTGTGACCGCATCTCCTAACTTTAAACTGCTAGTCTAAACATTGTTTTGTCACCAAAGTTTTAGAGTTTAATCTATCTTTACAAAAATATTTTTCTCTTAATTTATAATTAGTCATAAAAAGAAATAATTAGGTACAAATTTGGTCTGGAATTCAAAACTTTCAAATCTTACTATTCCTTACCTAGATTCAAATCCAGATTCTTGAACTCCTGGTACATTAAATAAAGTTGGTCTCCTCTAATAAAACCAAAATTTCTCTTAAAATCATTAAATTCTTATAGATTTCAGGCTCAATATCATTAATACAATTATGCTTTATCTTGAACACGCCAAACATGAAACTAAAGTGCGTTCAATTTAACTCTATTTTATTGCCATCTTGAATGATGTGTAGGGTATATTCTTGATTTACCTTATAGTTTTTGTGACATGACAGTTCATATTAGTTAAGCTTTTTGCAAAATCACAAGTTAAAAGACAACAACGATGAACCTAGGTCTATTAGTCATTTCAAAGACAATTTCTTTCTTCATCTTATCGATAATAATAGTTCAACTAAATTCATATTATGCAAACAAACAAGTTTACGACTCATAAAAATAACTATCTAAATTATGTCCTAAAGATTTGAAAACATAAGTTGTAGTTGATAATACACAAAAATTTTCCTAAATCCATGAATTCGTGTCCAATTAGTCAATACTAAAGATTGTAACTAGCATATAGTAACTGTTATAGTGTATTCCATTGCCCCCCTTTCCTGTAAAGTAGTACATATCGAATCTGGAACTTTGGTTCTTTCCAGAATTTTTGATACTTTATAATGCATATAAGATTAATCCGTGGATCATACCAATCAAATCACTTCTTTTAAATTTGAATGAAAATTTCATTATTAGTCAAAATGAAAAACTAATTGTAAAGAAAAAAGGATCTCCTTTAATATCAGCGAAGAAAAAACCTCTTGAATTAGAAAATGGAAATAAAGGGAAGGATTGATTTGAGGATGAGGCATTAGAGCCGGCGACCGAAGCCCCGGTGAACGGCGGCCGTAACTATAACGGTTAAAAGTTTTACTAAAAATTTTTTTTTTGAAAAACTTACACACTATGTTCACACTTACACAAAATACACTCAAATTACACTCTAGTCAACACGTTATAGCTATACCTATCATCATACTCACAAAAGATACATCACCATTCTCACAAACACAAACATCTAACTATAACCAATCTATACCTACTCCTTAACCTTCTGACACCGCATGAAATAATTTAAAGTTCCCCTTACTTAACTAAAGTTTATCTCATATTTAATGAAGCATGAATTGCACTAGGGTTCCCCTTACTTAACTAAAGTTTATCTCATATTTAATGAAGCATGAATTGCACTGAAGTTCATGAAATGCTTATATACTCCAACTCTGAGTACTATTAATGCAATCATGTTTCATATGAGTTTGTCATAAATGAAACTAAGGTGCATTTAATACAACTTTATTTTCTTGTCATACGAGGCAAAATAGAAAAATTAAATCAAACAAACTAATGAACTGAACCGAATCAATCCAACCCAAATTGATTAGTTTGTTTCGTTTGTTGGGTTGTTGGTTTATTTGATAACCCTTGTATATTATAACAATTAAACGAAAAATATATTTGAGTAGAAGCTAAAAACATTGAGTGTTCAAGAAAAGGCATTTGGTTTAGTGGTATGATTCTCACTTAGGGGCAAGAGGTTTTGAGTTCAATTCTTTAAATGCCCCTATTTCTAAATCTTTTCTTATCTAAAGGACTTCATATTAGAAATCGTGGGGATGTAGCTCAGATAGTAGAGCGCTCACTTTTGATGTGGAAAGTATGGGGTTGATACCACGCATCTCCAAAATAAAACTATCTATTATTAAATATATTATTGAAAATTATTTCTTTTCAATTTTTCCTTATTCATGACATGTTGAATAGCGATATTTCTTCATTTTCACTATTATTGATGATGGAAAATTTGGAGTTTTGTGATGCAAGAATTGTGGGGATGTAGCTTCGCTTAGCAAATGAGAGGTACGGGGATCGATACCTCGCATCTCCAAAAGAAACTATTTATTATTACTATTTTATTTCTATTCAATATTTCCTTATTTATGACATAATATGCAGAGATATTTTTTCATTTTTACAATTATTGATGAAGGGACGTTTAGGGTTTTCTGATGTAAGAATCGTAGGGATGTAGAGGGGATCAATACCTTGCTTCTCCAATTGAATTAATTATTAAATATATTATTTCTTTTCAATTTTTTCTTATTTAGGACATAATGAGATGAGATAGTTTTTCATTATCACTATTATTGATGACGAGATGTTTAGGACTTTGTGACGTAAGAATTGTGGGGATATAGCTTAGATGGTAGAGCGCTGGCTTTACATGTGAGAGGTATGGGGATCGATACCTTGCATCTCTAGATTTTCTTCATTTTCACTATTATTGATGATGGGACATTTAGGGTTTTCTGATATAAGTATTGTGGGAATGTAGCTTAGATGGTAGATTGATATAAGTACGGGGATTGGATTGATACCCCCATATCTCCTAAAGAAACTATTCGTTATTACTATTTTATTTCTATTCAATTTTTCCAGCGTTATTTTTTTTTTTATTTTCACTATTATTGATAACGAGATGTTTAGGATTTTGTGACGTAAGAATCTTGGGGATATAGCTTAGATGGTAAAGCGTTTGCATCCCATTTGAGAAGTACTGAGATCGATACCATGCATCAACAAAGGAATTGATTACTAAATATATTAGTTCTTTTAAATTTTTCCTTATTTACGACATAATGGGCCGGGATAGTTTTTCATTTTCAATATCATTGATGACGGGAAGTTTAGAGTTTTCTGATGTAAAATCGTGGGAAGGATCGATACCTCACATCTCCAAAAGAAACTATTCGTTATTACTATTTTATTTCTATTCAATATTTCCTTATTTATGACATAATGAGTAGCGATATTTTTTCATTTTCACTATTATTCATGACGAGACGTTTAGGGTTGTGTGACGTAAAAATTGTGGAGATGCATGACGAGACGTTTAGGGTTGTGTGATGTAAAAATTGTGGAGATGTCGCTTAGATGGTAGAGCGCTCGCTTTGCATGCAAGTTGTATGGGGATTGATAACCCGCATCTCCAAAAGAAAGTATTTAATTTGTTATTATATTTTTTCATTTTCACAATTATCAATGCCCTGCATCACCAAAAGAAACTATTTGTTATTAATATTTTGATATTTTTTTTTTCACTATTATTGATGATGTTACATTTAGGGTTTTATGATATGAAAATCATGGGGATGTAGCTTAGATGGTAGAGTGCTCGCTTTGCATGCGAGAGGTACGGGGATTGATACCAAATTCGAACTCAAAATATTAAGACTAGTTATTATTACATATATTATTTGTTTTCAATTTTTCCTTATTCATGACATGTTGGGTAGCAATATTTTTTCACTTTCACTATTATTGATGACAGGAAATTTAGGGTTTTGTGATGCAAAAATTGTGGGGATGTAGCTTAGATGGTAGAGAGAGCATGCGAGAGGTACGGGGTTGGAAAAGGAAAGATACTTATATGAGGATTATTATATCATTATGGCTATGTAGGTGGGTACGAGAGAAAAAGAAAAGAT